GCCTGGTGCTGTTCGCAAGTGCTGATAAGGGCGATTAGGTTTTCCCAAACTTTTGGTGGTGGGTTGGTGGGAGTAAGGGAATGGGATGGGGTAGTGGAAGTTTGGCCGGCCGGCGCAGGCACGGGAGGGAGAAATTGGAACAATTTATTCCGAATGTTGTTGGGATGGAGACTGATCTTGAGTCGAGCACGGGAGGCGTTTCGGCAAAACCTTCGGCCCTCGAAACGGCACTCGGCGTCAACATGCAAGAGACGGGCTCCCTCGCCCCCCCCCCGGCGTCAACGCGAGCGGATAGGACGAACAAGTACCACGCGCACTACTCTACGACGCGTATCTACACTACGATAGTCCCCAAACGCGGGCCTTCCCTCCCCTGGCCCTCCGCGCGGTAATCACGTGAGCAAGTCGACGATCTGGTCGACGACGGCGACAAGAAACGGGGGCGTCTTCTGCGCGATAGGGACGACGACATCGACGACCTGGTCCACAAGCGACGGATGTCCGGGCTCGAGCACCTCCCTTGCGAAGCAAAGCACGAAGCCGAGCGCGGCGGCGCGACCATTGACGCTCTCGGCGGCGTTCCAGAAGGAGCGCGCCGGCCTGACGGCGGCGCGGCCATCGCCTGCGGCGGGGGTGGAAGCGTCGACGGCGGGAGCGACCGTGCGCGCGGGCGGGGCTCGCTTGTGCGGCGGGGCGTTGGCGATCTCGGCGAAGGCGGTGGCAAGCAGCTCGCGGCGCTGGAGGCCGGGCAGGGTGACGAAGTCGTCGTGCGAGAGGCGCGCGGCCGAGGCGATGCGCTCGTTGTCCAGCTGTGCCACGGCGCACGCGCGCAGCCCGTCCAGCTGGGCCACGGGGTCGGGCGGCGGGCGCGCGGCGGCGGGCGCGGGCGGCGGGCGGCGCGACGCGCGGCGCGACGCGCGCGGCAGCAGCAGGCGCAGGCGGCGCGCTAGGCGCGGCAGCGAGACGCGCGCGGCGGCAGAAGTGTGTTGAAGGCCAGCGTCACCGACACGGACACCACCGCCAGCACGCCCACCAAGACCGGCGGCGGCAGCGCGAAGGCCGGCGCGGGCGCGCAGCGCCGGCACATCGGCCCCGGGGGTGGCGCGCGCGGGCGGCGCAGCGTGCGAATGGTGGAAGTGGCGGGCATGGTAGAAGCTGTCTTTGCAATCAACTAATACATACTTTTGAAAAATGTTTTCCCGCGAAACAGTTAAGTGATCTGCACAAACAGTCGCAGTTCGAGTTTGCCGCGCTTCCCAACGTGATGGGCAATTCTTTCAGGCGGTATGTACGGCGTTTTACGCATAGTGGTTCCGAAAACATCCCTTCAACTTCGAAGGCACTCCTCACACCCCAGGAAAACATTTCGACTTCCGAACGCACCACTTGTCCTCCTCCATCAAATCTGCGATCTTCGTTACCCCCTCGCGCGAAATCAGCCGTTCTCGCATCTCACCGACCTCCTTCTCCAGACACGTCGTCGCCTCCTTCATCACCGCGCCAACCTCTTCACACTACAGAACCTTCTTCCCTTCAATCACACACACCAGCGTCTTCGGGTGCAGATAAGACACGGCGGAGATCTTCCCGTTTGCGATTTCGGACAGATTCTGTGGGACCTTCATTCCAAGTCATAGCTTCGCCATCATCCAGCCCCCAAAAAGAAGCACAAGGAAACATGGGTCTGCGACGTACAGTGTCCGCGCATAAGAGGCGTCCATTGCCATTACAGGCCGGAATTGGAAGCGCCGAGAAGCGTCGAAGACTAAGACCCTCTCAGACTGAGGCCACACGTTCGAACCCTACTGCGCGGGTACCCCTGTCGAATTCATCTGCGCTTGAGAGCACCGAGTTACAGCCTGCCGCACGTTCGAGCCCTACCTTGCACGCACCCCGATCGAATTCATCCGCGCTTGAGAGCACTGAGTTGCAGCGATCCATAGTGGCAATGCACAAGAGGTTGGCAGAAGAGCTGGCCAGCTGCAATGCCACATTATCAGACCTAGTGAAAAGCAATGCCAATACGGCGTCCAGTTTAGAGGACATCAAACTCCTCATTCTTCAAAGCTCTGCAGGTAGTTCGCGAATACCATCTCGATCAAGGGTGCAGGGAGGGTCTCGGAAAGGTGCAACTAAGAACCTGGAAAAGGACGTTCTCAAAGACAACCCCACAGTTATTATCGAAATCAATGCGGCAGTGAACGCGGATACCGTGTCAAGATCGCTTGCACAGACTCTATCTTCGTTTATGGATGTCTATCACAATAACCAGGATGACCCCCGGATGACATCGCGTGTCGTCAGCGTCCTCTTGTTCGGGCTCAAACATAACAAATCTCGTTCAGAATTCAAACACGGACTGGGCAAAAAGCATGCAAGTTTTCGCTTCAGTACAGCCAAACGTGCGGTGATGAACGCAAGAAATCTCTCCGACGAAAGTATACGAGCATATGCGGCAGAATTTACAACAACCAAAGCCTTTATTGATAGGGATGCTGACCGCAATGAAATTGATGTTTCTGTTTCTACGAAGCCTTCTTGGCTGCAACCAGGTGTTTTGGACAAGCAAACGCTGCACACCGCGCGAATGCATCACGAGTGCGTGAAGGCCGAGTTACCTCCGGATCCCTCCTGCCCGACTAGGCGCAAACATCTGTTCATATGCAAGAGGATCGTCACTATTATTAACGACTGTTTGAGAATCTCTCGGGATCGCTCAAAGGTCAAAATGTTCGAGAGCGGCCTCTTTCTACTGGTTAACTGGAGTGAATATGACTCTTTCCATCGCTCTCACTCGTCACCCACCTTTCGATTTTTGCACAGTGATGCGGAATCCGTCCCCGCTTCCGAGATCCCTGACACTACTGTAGGGTGGGATACACACACATCCGTCACCAATCGGAAGCTTCTGGCTGCTCTTATATCGGAAAGCAAAGACCTGGTGATACAGGCGACTTATCAGGTCACCGTCACTGGTGGTTCGAACGGCGAAAACCGTGTCACAGAGATCAAGCGCAACATTAACATCTTGCGAATTGCTCTGCGCTTCGTCTGCGCCTATTGCCATTGTGGTGACGAAATGACTCTTGGATCACATGCGTCAATGCTTCGAACAATCTATCGGATTGCTCGGTTTCTGAGGCAATTGTTCTCTGTTCGGGCGAACTACAATCCTCAGGTACAACGGCAACGCATGATGAGGCAACAGCTGTCAGTGGTGACGTGAAAAGTGAGAGGACCCAATCTTTGATACCCGAAATCACGCTGCGAGAGATGTTACCGGGTAGATCGGAGAAAGAGAAGGTTATCAGTGGGGTGTTGAAAATCTCCAAAGAGACATTCGCCAGATTAAACATTTCTGCACCGCAAGACATTGACAGCAGCGAAAGCGCTGTGCTAAGCGGCACCAATGAGTGGAGACATCAAACAGAAGATTTGGAAGATGATTTCGACAGTGACGATGATGATATGGCGGGAATGCTAGACTAACATTTCTGCCCTGATAGGTTACGTAAAGTTCGGATTTGCACGACCAGTGTCAAGACGGGTTCAGCAGTACGCGCTAAGCTGCATGCCAACAATCGCACGCCTTCACTATCAGAAGCTGCAGTATTAGAGCAGGTGAAAAAGTCGGAGCTCGTTCTAGTGGAGGACATCACTCGGGAAAATCGCATGAGGGGTGCGATCAGCATTCGAAAAAATCATTTCGGCTGCTCATGTCGGCAAGAGTGAACAGGGCGGAACCGATATAGTTTATCCTACCTCCATAGTCACCCAATGAATGAACGAATTGCACCACCATGTATCCCCCAACTTTTTCCGAGCAGCATCTCACTCGTTCAAACCGAAGAGCATGTCCAAGCATGACCCATTCTTCGGTCTTAACAGTCTCCCTAACCCGGATCTCCGCCTCCTCCAGCTTAGACGGGTCCAACACGACCTCGCTAAGCACCCTGAAAGCAAAGTCCGTGACGCTATGAAACTCGTCCGGGCATCCCTTGACGCCGCGCATGGCGTCCTTCGTGACAGCGGCGTGGTTGCGGCAGATGGCGTTGGCGGCCTGCTTACGGTGTTGGGCGCCCTCATGGCCATCGTTGAGCACGTGCTTGCTGCGGGCCGTCTCGACGGCCAGCGACACCGGGCTCCGCGTGCGCAGGAAGGACACCGGACCGATCTGCGGCGGCAGGGCGCCGATGTGGGTTCAGTCGTCGCTCTGCAGGTACGTGGCGAGCTCGCAGGCGTCCCGCGCGGCAAACCAGCGGCGTAGGTTCGGGCGGCCGTCGGCTAGCTCCAGGTTGCGCCAGAACTTGAGAGAGGAGCGCGCGCGCTCGAAGATCGTGGCTGGGGAGGAAGGGGTGTTAGGATCAGGCGGGCATTGTTTGGAGAAGCAAAAAAAGCGAGGACAAAGGTGATGAGGACTTACAGAGATGTCGACGAACGAGGGCTCCGGGCCCGGGTAAAAGAAGGAGCCCTCAAAGTCGCCGAGGCAGGTCTCGATGAGATCGAGGGTGTGGTTGACGCGTATAGAAGTCCATCTATTAAGCGAGATTCGAGTCCCTTGTCAACGTCAGAAAGACCGAGTTTCTCCGTCACTTTCTCAATTATTTCGACTACCATTCGTCGGTACGGGTCAGATTCATCCTTCAAATCGTCCGTTAATCGCGCGATAACATCGCCCCCCCAATCTTGATGGCTATCTGCAATGTTGTGTCGACAACCGCCCGAAAGTTACGCCGATCTAAGGCCATCCGTCGAATCCAGAAGCATCGAAAATATTCTGGAACGATCTCTTCACGGACATATTTTGGCTCAACACCGGAACAAGACACACACTGCATCACAACTTTCAGAACTAGCACCTTCATTTCTTCCTCTGGAGAGCGGAACTCTCGTATTAGAATCGTTGTCACCTCCCTCGCATAGTAATTGGCGTATTCGGGATCCATTAATGGGATGATGAACCCGATCGCTTTCAAGAAAGCCCCCAGCGTTTTGCCCTTATGCAATCGAATTCCTTGCCACAGAGGCTTCCCCATGTAATCAACGCTGTGATGTTCGCCATACAGGGTCTTACGGCTGCCCTGGGTCCAGGGCTATGCTCCTCTACGTCCTGCAAGGGCTATTTCATCCTGCCCGGAAAGTACGGGAAGTATACTGGCGAATATATAATAGGCTTTACATTTACGCACAAGAGGGTCTTGTCCCGTTCTATCCAAGCATGCGATGTGCCTTGCTCTAGGAAGACGACGACGAATACGGGCCAGAACGATACGAACGCTCAGAGATTTTGAATATCATTTAATACAACGGCGTTCTGGCTGTAGCGCAATGCGCGCCACTGACCAGCCCTAACCATTTTAAGGGACGCACCTTCAACGAAAATCTGGGCACATGTTAGCACTGGAAGTAGGTTGCGGTGGTAGAAGGCTGTATTGTACATTTGAGGAAGAGAACAAGCATTGGTTGATTGGACTTCGTGTAAATATAACAAACTAAAGTCTAGAGAACGGCAAACGACTCCGGGTCAATCATCAGAAGTGCGTCCTCTTCCTGGCCCATAGTGTGTTTGTGGACGATTTTGCCAAGAGCTGCTCTTTCCTGGGCAAAAACCTTGTCAGGTGCCATATCGAGTGAAATTTGCGAGGCAACGCTTGGAACAAAGACGAAGTCATCAGAGTGTCCTTTCGAAATTAACGAGAGCAAACCACCATTCCCAAACATGCTAAGAAGGTACCAACTAAGAGCACTGACGTAGCTCACATCCAAATTTTGTCCCGCTAGCTCTATACCGCTCTGTAGCATTGGCCGAAAGCGGGGCGTTAGCGTGAAGGGAAGGGTAAAAGAAGGAGCCCTCAAAGTCGCCGAGGCAGGTCTCGATGAGATCGAGGGTGTGGTTGACCGGTTCCAGGCCTCTCCCGAACCACCAATCCGCCCCTCCACCTCATCAACAGTCTCCCCCGGTCCATACACCTGCATATCCGCCCCGCCAACCCCAGCCGTACGCACACCAACCTCATTCCCAACAGTATCCACCCCACGATCAGACGTACCACCCGCACGCCTCGCAGTAAGAGCCCAGCTCGCATCATGTCCAACCGCCAGGATATCCCAGCGTCGGAGGAGCTCCATGTCATAACATGTAAGAGCTCAACCACAAAAAAAATTACCAAATGGCCTTGCACTGAATCATTTGACGCGTTTGTACTGAAACGTTCGACAACTTTTTGAAGTCTCTGAGACTTTCACAATTCATAGATGTGTCTACGACGACATACGTGACTAGGTGCTCATGTGTGGTTGACCCTTTGTACAAAATACGTGCGTCAAGTACTCATCTGTAACCAAATAGCTGACTTCGGACACGGCCTGAAAGCCTCTAATAATGAAGTAGGGGAGCTCAACTTCGAGAGACCCGCAAACGTGTTCAGAAACGGATGTAGCTGTACTCCAGAATCGACTGTTCGGGGGAACCATCGGACGCCACCGGAAAGAGAACGTTTTCAACTCCGAGAAAACAGTCTTTACAGCCTCGTCCTCCGACACCTCGCCCGGTGTGGCTGAAAGCCTTGCCGCGAAAACCTTGCTTACAAGTTCAACTGCTTGAAGTGATGAACATGAGAGAGGGTGAGTGTACGACATACTTCGAAAATCGAAATCTCGGCTCTTTCGGACAAGGGCATCGACCGTCGCCTTGCGACGAACGTATGGCATACATGTTCCCACCAGCAGTGCCGCCGCCGAATTCTCATCGGTCTCATCTGCGACATACAGCCCCATAATGCGAATTGCTTCATGCACGGTTCCTTCTTTTCCTCCTCCTTTCCTCCGTCGCACAATATTTCTCATGTCCGCGACAGAGTTTATGCCAATAACTGTGCACAAATCTTTGCATGATGGGAAAATTATCTCTGCGAGCTCGGTGCACGCTGCGAGAGACTGGGTTTCCTGGAACGAGGGCTTGAACTGGGCAGAATCGGACAACGAATGAACAGCGCGGGCCAAGTTCTCATACTCTTCCAAGGTGCAGTCTACCACTGAACGAATGCTTCCCGTAGAGCTCTCTTCGTAGTGTGTGTCCTGCTCCGTATCCCCTTGTCGCGGTTTGAAGTTTGGTACCGGCTTCTGGATGAGTACCAATGTTTTCTGTCTCAAAGTATTTAGGAGACGTGCACATTGCCGTTCTGCCGTTGATCCAGACCCAATCCGAGAAAAGAATTGAAACTGGCCAACAACCATGCGCTCGATTTCTTCAACTCGAGATAAAAGCGTAGCCACTTTCCCCTCCACGCTATACATCGCAAATTTTGTACCGCCTCCCCATCACCAACTCCATTTTCGCTCTGGCGAATAAAATTTTCTCCGTCTGTTTCATAGCTCACCTGTCCTGAGCACTCATAATAACGCCACCGCAACTGAGTGGCGTCATCTTCCACCAAGCGAATATAATCAGGAAGAATCCACACCATCGCTTGTTGTTCATCGAACCCCTCCCTTGCCACGTATTTCAGTTTCCCTTTCACTCTTCCCTCGACCACTTCCTTAGTTACTAACTCTGCCCGCCACCAGACGGATGCAAGCGTTCTCTCACCTCGCCTTCGTCCTTCCCCTTTGGTTAATTCGATGTCCCAGAGGACCTCAATTAGTATCCCAGGTACCAGAGACTGCATTTCAGTACAGTAGTCTGAGCCTTGGGAAAGGCTTCCTGTCACTATGAATTCGTCATGAAAAAGCACGCTCGTCTTTTTTTACACGTGGCAGGCAAGACCCCCAAGTTTTGTTTCCCGAAGTCACCAAAGGACAAACGGGGCTTCGTCCCGTCCTTTCTCTCGGCAACCAGATTCCGAAGTGGTGCGCAACCCTGCCGACTTACCCCAAATACCACGCACATCCCCCGCCATCATCCGCCCACCCCCTGATGTGTATCTGATCGACCCTCCTCCACCCCCCTTCACCGTCCCCTCTGCCTACCGCGCTCTGCCTACCGCGCCCCGCGCCCCGCCCTCTCATCTCAACTCGCAAGACTTCATCTTCGATCTCGGGTCGTCCACATTGTGGCCGCCTTCTCAGGCTCCTCCATGCCAATCTTAGAAACCCCACCGTATGTCGCCCGCATGCGCCATGCTATGATGCCGAGTGGAAGAAAATTAGAGAGGAACCAGATAACTTTGACGAAGTGTCAAAGACAGTCAAGGTGGAAACTGGGGAGGCGAGTGATAAGACGGCGACGAGCGCGGAGGAGCAGGCGAGAATTGATAATAGGAGGAGGTTGAATAAGTTAATGCAGGATAAAAAGAATTCAAGAGCCGGCGGAAGGGATAAGGATGTGTCGGGGACAGAGGCAGAGCCGGTGGACACGGTGGAAGATGTCAAGAGCCGGCGGAAGGTATAAGGATGTGTCGGGGACAGAGGCAGAGCCAGTGGATACATCGTATACACTGGAGGAGGTTGTGTATTGAAGATATGAGGGATATAGATGAGGACAAGTACTACATTTCCATGTGCGTCGGACAGTGGGAATCGTCGACAGCGCTGAACCAAGAGATCGACAAGCGGCAGCTGCTCGTGGATGACGAACGTGCCAAATTGAGCGCGGGAAAGGCAAGGGCAGCGGAGGTGGCGTGGTGGAAGCGCGTACGAGCAGACGAGCTTCTGTCGATGTCAGAGCTGAGCGCGCCGTAACTCAAGCAAAAGCGGCACGAGCGCGCGCTTTGCGGGGCTACGGAAGCACGGTTACGGGGGAAAGGGTCAAGCTCGCGGCGAAGGCGGAAGCGTAAAGGAAGGCTGAGGATATAGAGAAGATGGGCATGGAGAGGCCACAAGAGTATCTGACCGAACTGCGAACGGAGCGAGATGAGCTAGCTGAGCGTTTAAATCGAAAGGACGCCGCGCGCGAAGCGAGGTGGGATCGGCGGTGGCAGGCTGCAAGGGAACGAATGAGGTTGTTGGCACAACAAGCAGGAAGCAATGCAGGTTTCGACGAAGACCCAGGGCGAGGGAACTCAAAGGGGCGCGAGAGAGGAAGTGGGAAGGGAAGAAGGAGGGGCCAGGGGAGGGGACGAGGGAGAGGGCGTGGGAAGAAAAATGTGGAGGAGGACACGTTTGGGGTGCACGATGCGGACTGGGATGTGTACAGATCAATGAAGGTTGGAAACGATGGGACGGATTCTGAAGACAACTCTGGAGAAGAGCGTGTTAGTTTGAAATCTGTGCGTACTGAGATTATGATTGAGTGTCTCGTTAAACCTGTCAGGAAGTACCGCTTCTACGAGGTTATCACTGAGGATGGAATTGCTGGTTTCACGGAGAAGCTTTTCGACATCGGCGTGAATAGCACGCATCTCGCTGTCGTGGTAGTGATGTTTGGCAAATATGAAGTAGTATAGCGTGAAGAAACCGAGAAGAAGAAAACACATTCGATACATGGTGAGTAATTGCTGCCAAGCTCCGAGCCGTGAGCGAGCCTGTGTGGGGTTTGTTGGTCGCCATCCTGCATGAAACGATCGAGAGGATTTCCTCTCCCGCTCAGATGTAGAATTCAGCCGTGGGAGGCGCAGTGAGTGGGAGTCATGGAGGCCAGATAATGTTGCAGATGGGTGCAGGTTACGAGCGGTAGTGCGATATTGTGTCGGGAGATCGGAAATGTCGAACGACATCGGAGAGTGGAACTTATGTGTGCTACGTGTTTTAATTGGCTGTCTCTACAATGACTTCATTCATCTATTTTTAATTGGGCCCTCGTCATCTGCCCGTCCCGCACGTCGCACGGGCCGTGCGGCGCGCGAATGATCACAAGTGGCTCCTTGGAAAACTCCCTATCGCTTGCGGCTCGTCGCGCTGAAGAGCTACACCGAGCTCGGTGTTAAGGAAGTCGGGCTGCCGCGTGCAAGCGTGTTTGTGCGAATTACTGGTGTGTGCGTTGTACGCATCTTCGGTGCGCATGTAGCGATGCTGGCCTGCTCCGCCTCAACACGGAGCTGCGACTCTGCTTCCTTCTCCGCTTTTTTTCTTCTGTTCCGAGCAGCTTTTCATTCTGTTCCACCCCCCAATCTCCGGGTGACTTCATTGCCTTCGGGTAATTGGGGATTAGCGTTGTCCGCCGGTTCTGCTTCTTCCTCTTCGACAACGCTCTCCAGTCTCTCAAGCGCCTGCGCTTCGACTAGTCGCTTTGCAATCTCGCGATGGTCATCACTGGCGACTCCTTGCTCATCCGGAACTACGGCCGCTCCGATTTTCAACGCAGCGATAAGTCAGGGAACACATGCGGAGAACTAAGCCATTCGAGGAGGGTAACCGTCGTGCCTGGATAAGCAGTAGAAAATATTCCCCTCCATGATCGAGGCAGTGCAACTCAAATTATTCTCTTCGGGTTTAAGACATTGTGTGGTACGGTCACTGTGACAGGCGTGAACTAGTCCAACTCTTCTGACAGAGTCCGTGAGCTTCAAGAATTGAAATGGCTTGTGGACGTCAACATAAATAAATCCGGAAGTGAACTGGCATTTCTTGACAACAGCGAAAGGTGTCTCTTGATATGCAT